ATCGTCACGGAGAGTCTAAAGGTGGACTTTGAAAATAAAGAAAGGAGCTAGTAAACACATTGACAAGGATATAATATCTAACAACAGTAAAAAAAAAAAAAAAAAGTAAAACAAATGCTTGAAGGGAATTATTGTTTTAGCGTTTAAACATAAAATGCATTTCAAGCGTAATCGAAAGGGAATCGCGAATATATTCGAATCGAACTAAAGAAGAATACTCTTCTTTGAAGGTAGGAGGGTGGTAATGGGGGATGAGGAAGCGAATTCCCAAGATATTATACCGAATTATTACATTATTCATTGGTGAATACATTAAAGAGTAAGAGGGAAGAACTAAAAAAAAAAATAAAGAAGAAAAAGTATATTTCAAGGGATGAAATATACTGTTGAAAATGATTTTCTTCTTGGAAGGCTTTTGAAAAATCAAAGGTGATGAAAATACACGTTACAAAAATGCACCTAATAAAGAGAATAATGCGAAAAGAAATAATGAGTAAAGATATTCAGGTAAATGTCGATGCAGATTCAAATTTAAAAAAAAAAAAAAAAAAAGGGGGGGGAGTAGTAAAAACAAATAGAAATGAAGAAATAAAAAGGAAGATAGTTGTATTATGTTTTTATCTGACGTTTCGTTTCTGTTAATAATAAACGAATCAAAAGATAAAAAGAAGAAGATAAAGACAAGATAATAATATAAGGAAGAATAATTAATTTACGAGATTATTATTCGCTGCTGTTTGGTCTCATAATAAATATATAAACAAAAGCTTGATCTCTATGTATTGTTCTTCTCCTCTACTCGACACGACGACGCACATCTCAACATCATCATCATCATCGTACTTTTTACATCCTGCACACGATTATAATTTTTTCCCCGGTTTAAAACGCGCGACGGATTATCGTGCGAGAGAAGGAGAGAAACAGAGACAGAGAGACAGTGATATATATATATATGTATACATAGGCAGATAGACAAAAAGAAAGAGAGAGAAAGAGAGAGAGAGAGAAAAAGAGAGACAGAAAGACAAAGAGAGTGACAGAACGATAAATCGCGAGCACGCGAGGCGCTCGACGTTCGAGACGAACGTGCACTGGCCACCACCGTAAAGGTTACAAACGACGAGAAATTCCGAACAACCCCGAACCTCACCGACAACCCTACGACTTTATGCGTCTGCGCCCCAATGACTACTCTCTCTCTCTCTCTCTGTTTCACTTACACACTCTTCTAACATACATACCTTTTTCCACCCCTTTACTTTACCTCCTCCTTTTTCTTCTTCTTCTTCTTCTTCTTCTTCTTCTTCTTCTTCTACTTCTTATTTTTCTTTTCCCTTTTTGCGTCTTTTTTTTACTTTACCACTTTTCCTTTTGATTATCAGCTTTACCTTTTTTTATTTTCTTTTCCTTTTCTTTTTTTCTTTCTTACGTTCGTTCAAAGTTTTATCAACGTCTACGAAACGACTCTTGATGAACATTGGCTTTTTCTGAAATTTTCTTACTTCTTTATATTTTAATATACGTTTGATGTGTTTAACTGTAAATAATTTATTTATTTTTCAATTAATTAAATATTCATCAAAAACACTCTCGTGTCAATATCCATACGCGCACGTTTATTTTGTTTCAAAGATTAGTAATATAATTAATAATCAATTTTCGTTCATTTTGATATTTTCTTTTCGAACATTCATTAGCATAAAACTATACTTTTTATAGTAATAGTTAATTTAAATATAAACAAATTAAAAGATGAGCAGTTCAAAAGTAAATATAATTCAAAAGTAATAAAAATCATTTGAAATTGATTGTGTACCGTGCCATAAATATGAATACATGTTTAATCAAGAAACAAAATCATGTAAAAAAAAAAAAAAAAAAAGAAGTTTTACGAACTTCAACGTGATACAGAAAAAATACCCCATATATTTTAACCATTTTTTTGTAACTGTAAATATATTTATATATTCATACAATACGATCGCAAATACCAATAGTAACTCGGGCCGTCGTTGTTTTAAGATTTCTTTCGAAAAAATTTACAAACATTAACTGTGACAAATACACGCATTGCAAAAGTCATCCTTTCTAATAAAAAAAAAAAAAGAAGTATGTAAAGGGTTGTAATATTTTTCCTATGTGTTATGATAGCAATAACTCACATATATCTTCATACATAGATAAAATACATTATCTATGTATGTATTACATATAATGCTGAGAAGTACGTGTTTTCCTGTAAAAATTCTTAAATAACGTGATTATATATATTTACAGTGATACATTATGAAATTTGTTAATTTTCTGAAAATTTCAATAAAATATATAAATTATAAAAATAATTATCTCGCAGTTTAAATAGATATATATTTAAATACATAATGTAAGAGGGAAAATATACTAAACTACAATATAAAAATTAACAGCAATAATAAACGTCGTCGTTGTTTATCCTATTTTCTAATCTTGATCCTAAATATCTATATCTATATGTATATCTATATATATATATATTGTAACACCCCTAGCTACCATAAATGGTTTGAGGGTATTGAAAGGGATGTAGCTTAATTCATACTACTATACGATCATTATCTATCGTGTTCTATAGTACCGACTGATGGGCAAGTACTAACTAAAATCAATCTTATTAGGAAAAGTGTTGGATTCAACCCGCCTGAAGATATATCCCAGGATCGGGTTGCCTACCAACTTGTTAAATAGCCCTAAATGTATTTTATTATCGACTGAATTTACTATTATCGACTAACAATAAATTGGTTTTATCTACGCCACTAGTGTGACCGCTTGAGAAAGAAAAAAAAAGGGATTTTTCGGAATTTTTTTGCACGAAAAGTACTACATGAAATGTTTCAATATTTTATGGAGATCGTTGTAAATATGTAAATAAAGGCAGTGATATTTATGTTTAATTATTTTTTTTTTTTTTTTTAATACATACATACCAACAGAACATACCAACAACACTACCTGACAGGAGTATTATGTGACTTATTTGGAGTGAATCACTACTCCTTTTTAACTCAGATTTTCACAGATGCTATGTTCATATCTTCAAACAAGTTTCAACCAGCAGGCTTCCCTGGACACTTCACCACCTGAGACAGTCATGCAGGAGGAAACCAGGGTATTCTCCAAAAGCTGTGGATCATCATCACTATCATGATTATAAGACGTGTCATGCATCAACTAGATTTAGATCATCGACTAACTGGATCAGGAGACAATCAAGTCTTGTTTGTGAAACTTCCCAGAGATTGCAAATTAGGATCCAATATAGTGCTCATCAAATCTAGACTGAGCACTGGATTCTCCCAAATAGGACTGGCTTTAAAGCCAAAATATTGATAAATAAACAAAATTTTCCCGTACCTTACCAAAGGATTTAAAATTAAGTGAGTTATTCGTAATCTCCCAAGACCCAAAAAAAAAAGTTTACTACTGCTGGATTTAAAGCAATCTTCAACAGTTCACAAAATCAAAAAAAAACCTTCAACAACTATTTCGGAGGTTTCAATCAAGACCCAAAAAAAAAGTTTACTACTGCTTTATTTATTCCAACGTATTAGAAAAGGTTCATAAAATAAAAAAAAAAAATACTAAAGTGTTTAATAAACTATAAGAAATTTCCCGTACCTCGGTCGACCCATGAAATGCAAATTCAACAAAATGACGAAGTTTTTAAAAACAAACTAGGCCTCAGTTTCGGCAATCAATTCTTAATTTGAGCCAAATTTGTGCTTTGGATAATCACATGAAAGTACATAGAGGTGAACGTTCCTATAAATGTCCTGTATGAGACAGGAGATTTCCTATTATTGGAAATAAACGATCTCACCAAAGAACTCGTTACTCGCAATTTCCTTTAACTAATTTAACAGTTTCTGGAAATGTTGAATTATCTGATATTCCGAAAAATGGTAATGCAAGATTTGAATATTTAAATACAAACGCATTTCAATTATATTCTATTTCTCTCTAAGGCTTCGCTCTAAGGCGACACTAGTAAACATTACCACATATTCTTCAATGGACTTAAGTTAAATGAAAAAAAATATGGGCATAAGATCTAGCAGAAACTTTTGTTCCTTAATGGACTCAAGGAAAAA